TTTTTTTTTTTTTTTTTTTTTGTTTAAAATACGATTTAGCTTAAAAAAATTCAAAAATGCCCTTCCATTTTAAAAAAAAAAATTCATTAATACCTTATCATTTTTTTTAAGAATTTCAAAAACACTCTTAAATTTTTTAAAAATATAAAAAATATAAATAATTTATAAGGTGTTAATAAATAGTTTTCGTCTATATATTGACGAAATAAATTTTTTAAAAATAAAGTTAAGAGTGCTAATGCTAATGTAAAAATTTGATAGGTATCTTTTAAACCTAATAAAAATATTTAGAGTATTTTTTAACTTTTTTTTAAAAAATAAAAAGTATTAATGAGACCTCTTACGATATTTTGAAATATTATCGAAAATTTAAAGATAATTTTAAATTAAGTATAACGATGTGAGACTATTTATTTTAGATTTTTTTTTAAAATATAGTTTTCACATAAAATATAAAGTTTAAGAGTATTATTAATTTAACTTAAAAAAAAAAACATTAGGTTCCGGTTTTTTTTTTTAAATAAAATTAAAAAAAAAATAGTTTTTTTTATAGTCCACATATGAAACTAGTTCATTCCATCCAAACAATTTTTTTTTTTTTACCAAATATATAAATAGTATTTATATACCTAAAACTTTACGTGTAATTATTTTATAATCTTTAAAATCTTTAAAATAATACTCTAGTTGATTATAATCGATTCATATTTTTCGGTCGGATTTTTTTTTTTTTTTTTGTCATAATTCATATTTACGGATTATTTTAAATAATTTCTAGTCATTTTCTCATTTGGGCACCTATAAATATTTACAACTTATGACAATTTTTTGACAAATGAGGTAATAATATTTAACTCTTCTTGCCATATTTTTCTACGAAGATTCCACAGAGAGGAGAATAAAACTAGCGGACACGTTTTAAAAACCTTGACGAGAAGCTCGAAAGGAAAAACCTAAATAAGATAATATCTGTTAGTAGTAGGCGTGAACGTTACATTTTCGGTCCACATTTGATCGGAAATGAAACTGAGAATATAACCGAGGAAGCACAAATAATATTAAGGGAATAATTAATTTGTTTTGTTTTGTTTTTTAAAATTATACTTCTTTTTTCACCATTTTTTTAGGGTAAATTTTCTACTTCAATTATGAGTCAAATTTTAACACTAATTTATTTTTATTTTAAAATAAAAATATCTCAAAAAAATTATACGAATTAAAATTAGTTTCTCAAGCTAATATGTTTCTTATTTAATAAAGATGGATCCGGTTATGCTTCATTTTCCTTAAGTCAACTCCTAATAATAAGGATAATTAACTAATTATTATTATTATTATTATTAATTATAGTCTTTGGGAAAGAAAACGACATACTATACTAAAAAAACTTTCACATTTTATAATTAAGGTCAAATGGATTATCTGTCATTAAAATTATAATAAATATTGTTGGGATTTTGAATTGGAAATGTCTCCCCCTACCACAAACTTATATAAATACATATTCAATTACAGCTAATAATCAATTAAATCATTTGATTTACTTATTAAAAAAAAATTAAAAGGATTGACAATGTTCTAATTCAAATGTGAATTCATATCAACTCTCAATATTTTTTTTTCTAAACATTAAACATTTTTAATAATCGGTGTAATTTTGCTCCATTTAGCCTATATTCGTCTATTTTTCGATTCAATTTCGGATCGAATTCATATTTTCTTTTACTATATGATCTATTTACGAGATTTTGAGGAATTTTACGATAATAAAGACTAATTTTTCAAAGTATTTGAATCAAGCTTGTAACTGGAGTGTAATTATGAGATATTAAAATATTGAATTGATGTAGTAATATGTTGAGACTCGTTAAACGTTTAGAAAACATGTAAAATTGTTATTTAGATGAGCTCATTTGAGCACTGTTTACGGGATAAACTATGGGTGTTTATATGAATTGATAATCTGATCAATCTAGACTACCCGACTCAAACTTTTTTTTTTTTTGTTTGGTTTAATTTTTGTAAAATATAAAAGTTTGTTTGTTTCGAGGTTGATATTTTTTTTTGTTGGATCAACTCGATTAACTCTAAAATAGAGATACATCTCAACTCAACCTTACCATATTCAAAAATAAATAAATAAAAATATTTAATATGTAACCCATGTTAGTGATAAAGTGTAACTTAAAAGATAAAACAAAAACAATTCAACGATCGAGGTATAACACAATTCTTCTTAGAGGAGAGTTGACTTGCCCTGGTGACTGAGCCTGCCATAATTTACTCCTATCTACCGCACTGACAATCAAAGTCGAACATACATACAACAATCCTCATGTGTGAATAGTCGAGAGGAAAGAAGGGGTGGTAGATGATAACAAAAAAGGGTGTCGCATCTGCACGAGCAGCATGGTGAAATGTGTCATGACATTGTTTATATAAAAATAGACAAACGGATTATGTAGGGTTGTGTACTCTCTTTCGATGGCTCAAATTATCAAACCGTGTACACTTCTAAATATATTTATATAAAAATATATAATTTAAATTTTTTTAAATAAAAAAAACAAAGGAAAAGGAAAATTTACGTGATCAAACGTTTAAAGCCGTAAGAAGTCCACTCCAATAAATCATTTATAAATTTTATTTCTTACACAAGTTGCAATATTTATTTTTATTAATACCCTTCTTATTGAAGATATGGTGCGAAGATTGCAATAAAATAAAATTCACATACCAATTTGACATTTTCAAATTAAAATCCGTTTTTTCTATTTTTGTATATTTATTTATATTACAAATTTGTTAATAATATTTTTTATATGTTCATATTTTAATACTACACCGTGAAAATTAATTAATTAATTACACAGAAACGTACAAGTTATTAAAATTTGACTTTCTGACTACAATCTTGTTGTTGATACCAATATCCATTATTTAAAAAAAAAATTGCGAATAATGGTTAAAATATCATTATAAAAATTAAATGTTATATATATGTATATGTATATATCTTATTTAATTTATTTAATTTTATTTATTAGTTAAGTTACAAAACCTGTCAAATAATTAAAAAAAATTTATTTAAAAACCAACTATTCATAAATAAATAAATAAATAAATAATCATATTTTAAATATACTCATAAATTTTCGAAAAAAAAATCTTGAAAAATGTTCATGAAAATTTTAAAATAAATACTCACTCTTTAAGTAAAAAAA